ATCTCCCCCCTTAGGCCAGTCTCTTCCACTGATTGACAGTATTCTTGCGGTACCAGTGGAAGACCCCATTACAAAAAAACCCAGTAACTAGACCATTGGTTGAGACTTTTGGATGGCACTGGGGGGTGGATGAAATGAGAAACCACTGAACCCTTTCAAGAGCCCATCTTCTGGGTTACATAATACCAAGAAGTTAAAGAGAGTGTTGACTTCACCATCAAGAAAAGGGGAGCATCTCTTGAGGGGGCAAAAAGTGGACAAAAGAACCGGGCGCACAAGGCAGACAAAGCTGGAAATCACTGCACTGTCTTGCAAAGAACACATTTATAACCCAAACAACAGTAATCAGGTGAGCCTATAAAAAAAGCCAGAAACATATTTAACATTCAACTTAAATCCTGCCAGCACTGTATTTTATCTAATACCTGCTTCAGTACTTGTCAAAGCTTCATCTTCTGTAAAATGGCCCTGTTTGAAAAACATCTTGGGAAATACAAAACTGCTGCAAACTGCTTGCTGACTAGCGACCTAAAATACAAATTTATATACTCAGCAAGAAATGAGACCGAGGGGTACCCCCCCAACATGTCCAATCCCTATACACATTCCAGACTACTGTTACTTAACACATCCCCCCAAGATGTCTGAAAGGAATTCCCCAGATTCCTGTGAGACAATGACCAACACAAAGCAGGGGGGGTTCTCTCCGTCTCATACCTTGCTGCATATGCAAATTTATCCACAAAAATAAGGAGGGCTTGACATTTCGATCCTACTAGAAGCTTTTTCAAAGGCAAAACAACTTGGCAGAAACTGATTGCAGCCTGGGCTTCATGCACTTGTTTGTCTGTTAAGTGAGTGCCAACAAACTATTCGGACTGATCTCCACCAATCAACATTCCTCTTTTCTTGATAACCCTCCTGGCCCCTTCACAATCGCTGGGGTGGAATTAAGACTTTTTACCTCCTTGTAGTTTGCAGGTCAATAATATCCCAGCTGCCGCTCTTGTGTCTTTTGAGGGGTGGACGTCCTGAGGTGTTCAATGTTTGAGGGATTAATCCATTAGGTCGATTGTGATGATCTTTTTCCAGATTTTTTTTTTTTTTTTTTTGGAGGCTTTCTTTTTTGAGGGGGGGGGGGCTTTAAAAATCTCTGACATGTTGTTTTGATGGAAAGAGCAATCTCTCCAAATGAGTGTAAATCCCCTGTGTTGAATCACTCAAATCTCGGAGTAGAAGCTTCTGCTGATGTTGTTGTCTGATGCAGTGTTAAGCCGGGGATCAATAAACGGTTTTGGTTTCCGCATAAATAGCTGTTTTGATACTGAGCCGGTTTGTTTGAGGGACAATTGGGGAAGCCACCCAAGATTACTGCACCATCACGGACTCACAGGGGCTGGGCTCAGTGTTTTAATGCTCCAAGGGGTCCAGCCAAAAATTCCCGCCTTTCATCTGTCAAACACCGTCAGCTTACAGACAGGGGAAAGTAAACAGAAAATGGGGGTTCTGCATTTTACAAAGGGGACGCAGAAGCCAACTCTCTACACGTGCCCATTTATTCCTGCAGGAAGCCTTTCTAGAGCACATCGAGGACTCTCTATCAATCTTTCAGGATTTCAGTGTCTGCATTCTCTACAGCTCATCACGTGTTGCTATGATCCAGCCTTATTCGAGTATCATTAACATCATAACTGAACTGCACACGGCATGCCCTGTGAATGTGCATGTACATGTACTTTCGTACCCCCAATGCATAAACAATGCGAAGCAAAATCGCGTTCAGGGGCCGAGTTTATTTCTAATTTCAGTACGAACCAGCAAGTACAAATAAACTTTGTGCTGCTTGGAATCTGAGGCAAGACTTTTCTGAGAAGTCCCTGCCACAGCCCAGGAATAAGCATGTCATAATCAATATAATTTATAGTAAACACTTGGAATGTCTGGTGATCCCTCCCCAGTTAGGGACAGCTGTGTCGCATCTATCAGAGGGCCTTTAGGGTAATCCGATCTAGCAGGTAAATATGTTCCCTTACCCAAAAAAAAAAAAATTCACTAATCAACACTTGGAAGTTGTCCAAGATGCTGGAACTCTCCCAAACCGGACGCTTTCGGTCCACAACCCTGTGCAATAGGAAACTCTGTGTAACGTACTGTACATGTATTCCTAGTTATCAAATTGTGCAGTTTTTTCTGAAGTCGGATCTGTCAAACAATCTCCTTATTAAACAAGTGTCATTTTGTCTTGTTTATGAGAGCTGGGAAGATTAACTAAAATAAGTCATAACCCTTCTTGGCGTCAAAACAGGAGGGCTTCCCGGGCAAAAGGTGGTTTGGGGTCAGGGGTGAGATCTGAACAACCCGTAGTCAACCTTTTTAGTCACTAAACATCGACAAAAATTGCATTTTGATGGGGTGAAAAGTATTTGGCCTCTTTTGGGGGATGGGTCCTCCCTCCTTCAAACTTGTGCCATAGTGAAGGCTTAGTTACCACTGACGGGACGCCTTCTAATTAACAGCCAAGCCGCAAAGCAGGAGACACTCAGTAATTGAGCGTCATGAATAAATGCTGTGCCAATTAATTAAGGATGATGGGATGAAATTACCCTCTGTCGCCCATTCATCAGTGTCTTATTTTGGCACTGGAGTTGAGGCATGCCAAATACTCTGTTCTTGTGACTATTCATGGTCTGGGAGGGGAGTGGGTTGACAAACTCTTTTTCAAAGGACTTGCTATAAAAAGAACTGGGGACGAAGGGGTGAGCAACTGATCTCAGGGAGCGCTTGGCTTTCTGTTCACAAAGAAGTGATAAAATGGGAGGCTCATTACATACAACAACAGAGCCAATCACGGCAGTGTCTCCCCAAATGGAAACAAAACAGGATAATCATTGAAAAAAAAAATACCATGGAGGTGAAGCCAGGGACCCAGAAAGAATAGAAATCCTGTCAGGCAGACAGTCTTCAATTCAATCCCAGCACCCTCCCATGCTGATGCATCCCCCTCAAAAAGATTCACTTGGGGTCCGTAAACAATCCCTAATCCCCCTCACCGAACACTGGGAGGATCAACCGGAACCCCAGAGGCGTCATTGAAAATTTGTTTTTTTCCAGAGCAGTTCAAAAGGAAAGTATGAAAGAAGGGGCCTGCTGGTCCCAGCCACTCAACAAACCCAGATTGCCTGTCCGGGGGAATTTAGCTGCAAAAACACCTTTTCTCTGGGTTGGTGACAACCCCTTGAGGGAGGAAGGGGGCTGGACAAAAAAGTGGAGCTACATTGTCCTAACCCTCGTTCCACATTTCAGTTAAGAATTTTCTGTTCTGGTGGGGGGGGGGCTTTTCAAGTATAATCACTGTTCACTATGTCAGCCCCCCAAAAATTGAAAACATTTCACACTGAAGTTGATTTACTGAATTGTCCAAGTGGTCTGGGGTCTGTTTATTTTTGGGGGATAAGTCTGGGACTGCTCATTAAGTCATCCTGGTCTTACATGCGTTCAAGCATTCCGATGGGGACTTGTGGAACAGGAACAAAGATACAAGTGCACGGCTTTTGAGTTCTTGTGAAAATCATCCCGTCTGAATCAGAATGAAGTCACTGGATTCATTTTCTCCTCTCTTGCTGCCTTTTGATGGCACAATTCCAGCCGGCTGTGTGGTTTCAAATTGTCACTTTGCGGCACAGAAGTGGCTTCCAGAGGAATTTTCCAGTTGGGATTGAGTGCCAAATACCTGTGGTCTTGAGCGCTCAAATCCTAAAAGGGGTCGCCAGAAGAGGGTCAAACCCAAAGATGTCTGGACCCTCTCTTTTGATTTTAGAAACAATTTGAATACAATTCCCACCGTTTTTTTAATGCAAGATGCATCGGCCTAATCTGTTCACAATATTCTGTCTACCTGTAAGTGCTTATGTTCACGTCTGAACATGGGTCTTTTTTATTTCCTTTAAAGTCAAGGGCTTGTAAACTTCCTGTTTCTCTTGGGGCGTGACAGGAAGAGGAAGTCAGAATTCCGGCTGAAAGTGAAATCTTTCGGGGTTGGGGAGACAATCGATGGATGGAAAGAAACCCTGCGACTGTGTGATAATACAAGGGTTGAGGGTAATAGAAGAGGGTGACAGCTTTTGGGGTCCAAAGATTCCATGAAAGAGGTACATGTAGGGGGTACATAATTTGGTCCTGGACTGAACATCAGATTATATACAAAGGCCGGTTAATGTGCATGCAGATAAACTGTAAATCTTGATGAAGTCACAAAGTTGCGAGATTTCCCGTGCTGAAAGGTCTTTGGTTTGTTTTCTTTTTTTTTTTTCTCAAAAGCTCAAGTCAGGCACTGCACAAATAATCCAGATTAGAATTTTGAAAGATGAGGGAAGTGAAATTTTTTTCTGCACGCACAACCAATTTCAGCCAAATCTTGAGTTGGGGCTCCTAACTGAGCCGTCCACTACAATCTTCTCACGCAGCTGTTGAAGCGATGGGTTATCACAGTACACCGTCAAATTTCCCATTCAAAACATGTCTAAATATGACCAAACTGAACTTGGCTCAGTGGCTGAAGCGCATGGTTTGCGAGGTTATTAAGTATTGCCTCAAGATGTGGGCATCAAAGTGCAGCCAAAAAAGTTGAAATCACAGAGAGAAATGTCCAAGATGTATGTTGTACCATGGAGGAAAGACACAGATGGAGTTAGCGTACAACTCTGGCACTTCCAAGCGCTCGATGATCATTGTCTGCCAGTCAGATGAATAACAGAAAACATTCCAAAAATGCCTGATTACTGCCTGCAGCTTAGCCAGACAAGTGGGACCAGTAATATCCTTGCGATACTAGTGGTGTTTTGCTCGCAATTAACTACAACTTATCACTGTGACCAGGAAATGGAGAGAAAAATGCGTGAGCGTTGGACCTACTTTTGCAATCGTGAATAAACTGCTCAAAATTATTCGTCAGTTTGGTGTCTAGTGGTTCAAGTGTGAAGATTTTTTTGGGCCGCACTCACCGTGGGTACAAGTAGCTTCTTGATGGCAGCCTTGGCGCGGTCCATCTTCAGCTGGGCCCGGTTGGGTGTATCCTCCACGGTGACCAGGACGTGTAGGTCCTCCGAGAGGTGTTCCCAGTTGTGCTTGTCTTTATTCTGCTCCTCCTGCCCGACCAACAGTGTGTAAGAAACAAACACCAGATTTGCATAATATACATGCACAAGGAAACACACTGACTCAAGTTTGATACGCAATTATTATTATTCTTTTTTTATTCCCCAGTGCTCTGAGAGTACACCTGTTGAAAATGAAACGTCGTGTGGACTTGGTATCGGGTTTGGAATTGATTTGATTTTGCTCTCTGTGCTGCATGAATATCGCTGCGATCAAAAACACGGATACAGGCATTTCTGCCTTTGTGCAGGGATGCTTAATAGTCGCCTCATTCTTAACTCGCAGATGATCGACCATCCAAATTTGATTCAGAAGAGACTCGGTCAAGTTTCTTATACATATACATGTACTAGAGCTGCGTTGATGGATTTCGACTGAAGTTCACAGACACAACTCGACTATCTCACAACTTGTTAAGTTTAGATGTTTGAGGGACTAAAACATTTAAGGGGGCAATTTTTTGCTCTCACAACTCAGTCTCAACTTCCCCCCATCCCCACAAAAACTGCCAATGCGATGAAGGTTCACACAAACGATTTGAGCACAAAGGATACCTTTACAATGAAACTTCACAAATTAGTGGGAAAAAAAACCTTAACAGAAAGGGAAGTCCTGGAGGTAAATGTGCATTCCCTAAACTCTAATATGGGCCACTCGGTCCCCTGTGAGACAAATGTGACCGACCCTGGATCCTTTCACCTAGAAAATCTACTGCAATCCCACTCACTTCCATTTGGAATGTTCGGAATTTCACAACCCAATTAAATTGGAGGGCTTTGGAGCTTTGTGGCATGACTTATTTCATCAAAGGGGTTGAATTTCATCACGGAGCTTTCGTGCAGAGAAATATCTGCTCCGCAAACTATTTGTAACCACAAAATCAGCCTTCAAATGGTGGAGAGAAATGTACCGGTCACAATCGATACTAAACTTAAGCCAGACAGTTAAAACTTGGCAACGCTTCACTCTGATGTAAGAGCAAACACTGCACACTTGAGCAAATATTTGAAACTGGTCTGACATCCTCTACTTCCACAGCAGAGCAAAATGTTCGTGAATTGATTTATGCTTTTAAAAAGTGGGTAATGTCTGCATTATGATTTCATTTTTAAGACTAAATGTGCGTCAACAGTAAGTCGACATAAAAATAAAGGTAGTAGGTTACTTCGGACTTGTCCATTTTGGAACACTCCTTTTTGATTGGACAAGACTTCTTATATGGTTCTTTTAATACTGTGGGGTGGAGTGTCCGTTTGACACAAGCCAGGGGCAGGTGTAGCTGAGAGATTCAAATGACGAAAAGATGATTGCTACGTTCAAAAAAAAGTCAAGGTCCGATTCACAGGCATGGCCATGAGAATATTTAAACTAGTCAGCACTTTTTCTGAGGGCCACAGATGCAAGAGGTTGGACGAGTTGCATACCAATCGTTTTTCCAGAGACAGGCAAACAGGATTGTCTCTTTTTGAAATAAATTATTTACAAGAGGTGCATTATGCCATTATTTTGACGTCTGCGTTCTGCTGTGCAAATACCTGAGCATTAAAAAATGCAAAACCCGGTAATGGATTGCTTTTTGGTGTACAAAAAATTGAAACTTCTGCCACTGAGTAAACCGAAATAGCCTCCGTCTCAGAGGACGGCAGATGTTTTTTTGGGGCGATGTTCCCACTAAATTTTCACAGTGAAGATCTGGTTTCAACAAGGATCTGTCTCGATTTCTCCACCCAAAGCTAAAAATGATAAAGAGGATGAGTTGCAAAGAAATATATTTTTCTAAGGTAGGACAGACCACACCATATCGGACGAGAGGCAAATATGCATTTCAGGTTGGGGAGAAGGAGTGGCAATGGAGTTGGTGTTACGTATCATGGTATTTCTGCCTGGTTGCTCCAGATGAAACGATATCTAACCAGTCGGCCAACCGGCTGATCGGGGGCACAGCCCGGCCAGCTGGTGTGCTCATTGTCGGTGGGATGGATAGGGCAATACAGCGCTAATGATTGCAACGTGAGAAGGCCTGCGAGTTGCACGTATGCCAACTACATTGTACACACTGTCGACACGACGTTCGGGTGTGTTTATCAGATGCAAAAGTGCACAAATGAAAGACGTAAGAAGATCTACAGTCGCTAAATTAGAAGTAACTCTGACACGAACATGGATCATGAGATCATGAGATCAGAAGTGAGATTTTTTTCTACTTTTGCAGATACTTCCTTGCGGAGGAGAAAGTTAATCACAAACAAAAATTCTGATCTTCGTTTGGAAAAGTACATGCCTTTGACACAGTTTGTAACTTCAAAAAGTAGGCCTACATCATTCTTCTTGTCTCCAAGTTTAACTCTTTACATAAAAGGATGTCAGGAATTTTGAGATTCCATGGCTTTCCACTTAGCAATAGGTCCTGGATTTGGGAGGATAAAAATTGTTACCTTCTTTTTGTCTCTCATGGAGCCTTTTCCTCTGATCATGATCTTGCATCCCGTCTCCTTCTCCAGTTGTTTGGCATACATGCCACGGGGCCCCAGTATTCTGCCTACGAAGTTAAACTGCAGAAGGAAAGCGGTACGAGGAGAAAAAAAAAACAAGCAGAAATGAAATACATTGGTACTGAATTGAAAGTCCAAGGTCTGTGAACTGTGTGGCTGTTTGGTGTGGGGATGAGAACTTCAGGAAACAGCGGTTGACACGGGCATGGCATTTCACTGAGGGTCAGTCACATATGGGGGATGGGCATCATCTGTGAGCTTTTCAGCCTGCATCCAATGAAATATTCACGGGGTTTATCGTCACACACCTCAGGACAATAGCGACAAGAATCCTTCTCGAATTTCCGTGAGAATCTTAGGGCACAGTCGCAGACATCAGAGGACAGACCCACCAACTCCTTACAAGGAGCTGTATAAAACATGCAATCACGGTTATGCACCAGTAAATACCCAGTAACAAAAAAATGAACATAAAAAAATGGAATTCCCTTTCTTTCATTTTTTTCTCGGACATTTCCCAACTGCCGTAATACCCACTCATGTCGAAGATGACTCCCCAAAATTAAATGGGTGTTTGACTTCCTGACAACATTTCCTAATGGCCAGTGGCAAACTGAGTAATGGAAAGATCAAGTCTGGCTGACGGCAGACCGGCAGTTTGTCCCGACACCTTCCAATCGGATTTGGACAGCCGCAATCAGTTCCCACACCTGGGAAACGCTAAATTGTTAACGATAAATTTCCCTTCCGACCGGCCTGCACCATCAGCCAAACGAGGTGGCGACGGAGGGCAAAGTTGCCAAGCATAATCAACTTCAATAATTTATGAAATACTATGCCATTTACTTCACATGTTAATTGCGATTTTATGCAATGTGTGAAGTATCTGAGGTAGACTAAGTGACTGTCAGAGACTGTGATTTTCATACATATTAGAGCGCATTCAAGGAGACCTGAAGTATTTTTATGACTTGAAGACATGTAGGAAAGCTTTCTTGCGATGTTCATATCAACTTCCACTTCCTTTGAAGCAGTGCTGAGGGAGAACGTTCAACATTACGGTTTCTCTGCCGATAAAAATGTTCCACATTCGTGAGATTTTGTGGGATGTCACCCACGGCAAAACAGAAGCGTCTCCGATAGCTTTTTGTAAAAATGTACATACATATACTTTTCTTGGAGCTGAAATTCAGGGTCAGCACCTGAACCCAAAAAGCTAAAATCAGCTGAAAAGCTGAAATTTCACACCCCCGATTTGAGTCCAACGAAAAGAAAGCAGGAGGACTGCTCATCAGAAAGGCAAGCTACTACATGTAGCTAGTAATCCAGACACAAATTTGTCCAACTACCAAAGGGAAAGGCGAAAAGGAGTAGCGTGATCAGCGCATGTACATGTACGTGTAAGAAGGAATCACTTGAGCAATGCATGCATGTTGATGCACATGTACATGTACCACATTCCTACGACCTTCAATGTTTGTACACATATGTACTTATAATTTTAGGTATCTGTTTCGTTCATCACAAATATATAAGCATGGAAATGTTTCCTTAAAGTCCTCATTCCACCTACACGCAATATCAGTCAACATCTCACGGTGTTCACATACCATCTAATGCCCAAGCCAACATTTTATTTATTGTATTTTTTTGGTGGGACACTCTTACGGGTCACTGCACTGGTTGGTTGATTGGTTATCAACTGAAGGAGTCGAATTTTTCAACTGTGGTTGAGAACAGAAGTACTCCCCCCATTTGTCTCCAACAGTAAAAAGGCTGTCATTCGCTGGCAAGGTCGATTCACAATAACAGTTCCAGCATAGGCCACCGATGGAATGTTGACCTTATTGAAACTTGGGGGAGCCACCCTTCAGAAAAGTGAATTCCTGGTATTAAACAATGCTGACAGCTGGAATCCTGGTGTACCAGAGCAGTTTAGTGTAATTTACGAACATGGATTGTCTCCCTTGAAACATTCCAGCAAAGTCTTGTGTGGTAAAAATTGGCAGGTAATAATGGGCTTTGGTCAATGCACCTTCTTGCATGTGGGCATACTGTTCTTCCTGTCTGGCTGAAATCATTTGTTTGGTTTTATTAAAACCAAACTCAGTGACCTACACGTACATCTGACAGGTTATGTTTGTGCATGGTCGCGATTCCTCGCCATTCTGCAAATTTGCACAATGTTTCCTCCGGCCACCGGCTAACCGACCACTGATCAGGATGGTCAGGCAGCCCTCCCCATTGGATATTAATTAAGAAGACATCAAAATTGACGCCCAGAATGCATTCTGACCCTGCCAAGGAATGCCGATTGAGTCTACAACATTCTACACAGAACAGGTGCCCACGTAGCATGATCACCAAGGTTTTTTACTCGCCGTCAAATATAAGACCAATTGAAGGAGAAACATTATCAGTTGGCTACCTCTGACTTTAACGACACAGGGGTATTTTACGGGGAATTTCTCCACACTCTGAATGATTTATACAGATGCTTTTCCTTCGGTTTATACCGGAGCACAAGTGCACATATACACAC